TTCTATAGTATTTAATCCTTTTCATGATACTAGGCCTCTAGAGGCCACACAGAGGAGCTATTGTAGTGCCCGTGCACTACAGCCGAAGACGCCTCTGGCGGGCCCTTCAACGGCCGGGAGGCCCGCCTGTGGTATCTTGGGCTAAATAAAGTGATATAAAAGATATATAAAAGTTGGATTGGCGTTTAAAATAAGCACAAGAACGTCATTTCACGCACTTTCCACCAACCCCCCGCCGGGTGGTCGGCGCTCAATGGCTGCCACTGATGTCTAAGCCCAAAGGCGCCGCCTACTCTTCCTCCTCGGTGCGTACACCGTTGGACAGGACTGGATGGCAGCGTGGCAATGAGCGTTCTAAGGACAGAGAGGACTTCTGGTTGGATAGGGAGGCCTTCTCTGTATTTGCAAGGCAAATAGACACCCCCGCGGTCCGCAGCGGCTTCGCCCTGATGTTGTTGAGCCCCTGCCAGTCCCCTGCGGTCGAGAGCAATGGAAGGCCTCATGGGGGGCCCGGCGGGAGTCGGGGGGCCCCCTATCCCTGCAGCAGCTCTGGGCAACAGTGGCTGCGCCGGTATTGCGAGTTAAAGGGCAATGTCCTCTTTTATGCGCCGCATGCAGAGGCAGCCTTTGAGGGGGCGTATCTGCTTGAGGACTTTGTCTTTCAGAACATTTCTCCCACTCGAGCGCTCGTTATGGGGGTGAGCACTGCATGGACGATATGCACCCGTGCTCTGCTTTCCAGAAGGCAGCTGCTCTAGGTGAGCATATGCACTCTTGTATGCGTACAAACCGGCCGGTGTTTAGCTCTTTTGTGAATTTGTGTATTGCAGATCGTTCCAGAGTTGCCTCTTGCGGAAGGAGAGGGGGAACGGCTGAGACAAGGAGCTGTGCTGGTGGGGAGCAGTCGCCATGATGGGGTGTATGGACGGTATGTGAGGCCTCTTGTGATGCTCCTGGAATCTTCCCGCATTGCTGATGCATGGAAGAGCACTTGCGAGAGTTGCAGCGCAGCAGCGTTGCAGCAGCACGTCCGTGAACTGCAGCACGTGCTGCAGCGGGAACGAGCTGCTGCTTCGAGGGAGAAAGAGGCCACAGCGTTGATAGCCAAGCAGCAAGAGATTGCCCTGAGGGAGACAGAAGGATCGAAGCAAACGCTGTTGGTGCGGTGCAATAGCTGTACCCAGGCGCAGCCCATGTCCCTTTTCCCTTTCAGCTGTATGCACGCTTACTTCCATTACCTGCTAAGCCCAACATTCAGATATCACGACCACCGTTTTCATCGCCTCAGCGCGAACGCCTTTTGCCAAAGCATCTGTGTCACTTCCTATTAGACTGCTGTGGCTTCTGCTGCTGGTGTCTCGTGCTGCAATATGTTGGTGATGCTGCCGGCTACTCTTGCTTCTGCTGGTTCTGGTGTGGGCGTGTAGTTAGAGATAGAGCGTCTGCAGCAACGCAATCAGCGACTTCAAGCAACAGGGGAGGTGACTGAGAAGGCGGCAGCGGAATTCGTTGATCAGAAGATGCACGAAGTGTCTTTCCTCCAAAATGAACTCGCCACGCAACTAGCGGGTACAATTTTCCCTTTCTGTTCCATTTCCGTAGTCGCTCTTCTCCTTTGGTCTGCCTTCTTGCTGGGTGCATTGTTGGCTTCACTTTTTGTGTTTCCGTGTGTTTGTCTTCCCATTGTGGATGGTTCATGTTCTCCGGCGTTTGGGCTTCTAGTTGCTCGCGCTTGTCTTTGCTGCTGCACTTGCAGGCGCCTGCATGCACGCCAGCGGCGCCTGCTTGTCGTCCTGTTGCTGTGTTGACGTGATTTGTGCCGTTGTATTCGTGCGACTGCCTGCTGCGTTAGCCCTTCACAGCGTCCTTGTACTCTGTGTGTTTCACGTGTCCCTGGCTTCTGCTGCCGCTGCGGTTTGTACTGTCAGGTTGTAAGCGCCTTGAGACGGAGATTGTGGAGCTGCGGGAGGCTTTGGGGGCCTCGCAGCAGAAGGCACAGCAGTTGGCGACGGAGAACAGCCGCCTCAACTGCCGCGTCTCGGACCTCCTGGAGGACCTGGAGGACGCGAAAGATAACCCATCCCGCTTTGCCCTTGTGATGAATCGCCTCCGAGCTGCCAATCAGAGGGCAGTCATAGAAAATAAACGCCTCAGGCAAGTGCAAAACACCCCCCGCACTAGGTACATCTCCCTCTGATACACCAACAGTGCAGCGGACACTTCGAACGGCCTCCATCAGACGTGACGCACGTTCGCAGGGGCTGCCAGTGGCATCTAGAAGCCGATGTTAGGCCCGAGGCGAGCGGAGTGGCAGCAGCAGTAGCTCCGGGCCCCACAGCCCGCGCTGCCAGCAGCCGCACTGTCGCCTGTTGCACCAACGTACTGGTATAGCTCTGGNGGGCCCCACAGCCCGCGCTGCCAGCAGCCGCACTGTCGCCTGTTGCACCAACGTACTGGTATAGCTCTGGGTGTGTGGGGAAGCACTGTTCTCTCTCTAGACACGCGACGCAGTTGCTGCTCTGTGGTGTTCGGTTGTGGGTCTGAAAAGATTGCCCGCGGCGTTGGAAGCCAGTCAAGAACCGTCCATGCCCTTTCGCTTCCTTGGCCTCCATGTTTTGTTGCTTTGATTCGCTTGTCCCGCTAGTGTACTTGTCTGTTTTACCGAGCTGTTTCGCTTATTGCTTGCAGGGAGGAGAACATATCATTGACGCAGAATTTCCATCAACTCGAGGACAAATTCAAAGAAAAGGCAAACTACCAGACCCTAATCCCTTCACAGCAGACTCTATGCCTTTAAAGATAATCCCTTTAGCTCCAAACGCTAGACCCTAGACGTCAACAATGCAACGTGCAGGGCGTCACCCCAGTAGCCAAGGCCGCAGGTGCTAGGCCGCCCGTCTAGATTAGGCAATGGAGCTAAGGGGGCGCTCTTGCATGCAATTGACCCTTTCCGTGTTGTTTGTCCGTCTTGAAGGGGGAAGTCTAGAGTCCTGTTGCTGTTGCCGTTGTTGGTGCTAAGGTTGGTGCGCCTGTTGGTGGGGGTGGTCCAGCTGCAGCAACACGCAGGGCCACTGAATGCGTATGCCTGTCCAATTGTGAAGGTGGCGTTAATTCGCCAAGTGGCAGAGATNACGCAGGGCCACTGAATGCGTATGCCTGTCCAATTGTGAAGGTGGCGTTAATTCGCCAAGTGGCAGAGATGGGGGACGCCTTCGACTTGTTGAGGAAGTGGTTGACTTGCAGCGAGCGCAAAGTGGGACTTGCAGCTCACAATCTCATCTTTAGAGGCTTGCTACACACTCGGGAACTTTGGAGAGACAACCCACGTTATAACGTGGGTTGTCTCTCCAAAGTTCCGTGTATTGTTGGAAACTCTGGCTGTGTATTGTTGGGTTACCTTTCTTGCTTTGATTGCTGCGTTCTGCAGATCCGCTACTACGAACAAGGTTACAAATGGTCTTATCAGCAGGAGCAGGAAGAACTCGAGAAGTCAGTTCAATGCTTCTAGCTTAGCGTTTAAGGTTTACGGCATCGGTGCCTCCCTCCGTGGTTGGATACGGAAAAAATCTGGCTTGTAAAAAAGCATAAGAGAAGAGCTAATGTGTTCTTAGTGTTCAGGATTTAGTCCCCTCTACAGCCGCGTGCAGGAGACGGATTTTAGTTTTAAGAGCTTAGGGTTCAAGGCTTTGAGCTTGGGCTGTTATTTGTGCTCTTCTGTGCAGAATAGAGGAGCTCCAGAGAGCCATTAGAGTGGCGGAGGCTGCAGCACGGTCGAGTTATATATCTCACAGGGCCTTCTTGTTGGGCCAACAACTGAAGGCCTGCACAGTNCTGCAGCACGGTCGAGTTATATATCTCACAGGGCCTTCTTGTTGGGCCAACAACTGAAGGCCTGCACAGTTAATCCTTCGCAGCAGGAAGTATATGCTTTCGTCAAATGCGTAAGCAAACAGTATTTGCAGCTAAACGCAAGCAAAGTGCATGCATAATGCATTCACAATGCATGCAAACTCCGTGCACAGAGGTATGCCAGGAATCTCGATGACAAGTTTTTGGATCACTTGTTGGCGTTTGTGTCGAAAGGAGGAATCACAATTGGGAAACTCGTCGAAGCATGGCAGAGGAAACGCGTTTTGCTATTTGAAATACTTGTTTTCCTTTTTTTGCCTACACGGCTGTTATCGCATACCTTTCGTGGATTTGTTTGGGCCTCGATTCGGTTTCTGTGAACCGGCGGTTTGGGATGGGAGATCTCCTTTTGCCACGCTGTTGGCTGTTTTTTTGCACTCACGTTTACATATGTGTTCTTTCGTCTCCACGCATGCCAGCGTGTTTTTATCTGCTGATGTTCAGCTGATTTCTTTTCTGTTTGTTAGTGCGCGTGGATGTTGTTTATGCGTTTGCTCGTTCGCCATTCTAGATTGGCCGTCACTTCCATTTTTGCTTTTGTTACTATGCGCAGACACATGGTTGTTTACCAAATGGTTTGCCTGTTTCCCAGTCGCGACATATTTTTGTTTGTGTTTATTTCTATAGCCGTGCGCTTGCCAGCGTGAAAGTTTTTATATCTGCTTTCTCATGTGCGCTTTTGCACTCATGCAGACACTGGATCGCTTTGGCTGG